ATGACTACATATATTTTTTTTTTTTTGAGTTGGAGTCTCACTCTGTCACCCAGACTGGAGTGCAGTGGCCGCTCCCGGCTACCACAGCCTCGACCTGCTGGGTTCCAGCGATCCTTCCACCTCAGCCTTCCGAGTAGCTGGAATTACAGGCGCACACTACCATGCCCAGCTGATTTTTTAATTCATTGTAGAGATGAGGTCTCGCTGCCCAGGTGGGTCTTGAACCCGCGGGCTCAGGCAATCCACTCACCTGTCTCCCAAAGGCGCAGGATTACAGACTGAACCACTGAGCCTGGCTATGACTATATTTTTATGGGTGAAAATGTTATTACTAGATAGTCTGAAACAGGTGCTCCATACAGTTCCCTATGGAGTTGAAGACTCTTAAGACACTCACTGATGTCCACAAGGGGGCAATATGTCACACTGACGAAGCTACATTGTCTACTACAAAAAATCAATTTCATTCCAGTAAGCTGGCCCCATGTCTCTCAGACTTCCCTTTATACCAGCTTATTCACATTGGATCTAACTTAAGCATTCAGTAGAACAAAGGGGATTTTTTTAAAAAAGGAAGAAAATTGTCTTCTTCACCTTCAATAATAGCTTTTATAATGCAAGTGGGGCATAACTGTACAGATTTCAAGTGGAAAAAAAACCACTTTATGGCTGAGTATGTTTATTTGAATAGACCTAACACAGAGCTTCAAATTTATGTGATATTAACATAATAATGACGGCTTTCTACTGCCTTTGCTTTTCATAAAATCTGGAGAATTTTTTTTTAAAAACTCCACATAATTAAATCAAATGAGTCAAACATGGTGGGCTTCTTGAATTTCCTCTTCTACTCTTGTGAGTACAGAAACAACCCAGGAGCTCACGGATCATTAGACTTTAGCAAGATCTCACAGAAAGTTCATACTTGCAATATTTTCCTACTTATGGTTCGATCCCTTCACCGGGCCTCAGCTTCCACAGGTACAGGTTTTGTGTGTGGCATCTGGAACCAGAAGAATGGAAGGAGGAAAGGACCAGAGAGGGAAGAGTATCTGGAAATTCTCTACTGAGACGTTTTCTTCCTATGGAAAGAGGAGTCTCTTTTCTCCACTGGGATTTAGAGTTCTGGGGAAAGTCTCTTTTGAAGTTGGTTAAAGGCTTGGGAACCTCAAGAAACAGAAAGATTTGTTTTTCCTTCTGTTACTGGGACTAAATGGAAATGGCGGAATCAGGAGTGTTACTTTGAAAGTTCATTGGATATATGCATCTCTATTAAGACTTTTTCACCCACCATCACTATGGTTTTCTCCTCTCAAATTAACCCTTGAGTAGACACACGCAAGAAATAATAGCTAACCTACTCTACAAATTTTTCTAACTATAAAGTTGATTAGAAAAATTAAATTATCCTTAGAAGAGTCTGCATATGACCCAAGCAAATCTCCCAGCACTTGGGAGTTGGAAGCCCATACAATTAAGATTCGTAGCCGGGTGTGATGGTTCACATCTGTAATCCCAGTACTTTGGGAGGCTAAGGGGGGAAGATTATACGAGCCCAGGAATTTGAGACCCAGTCTACGCAACATAACAAGACCTCAACTCTACCAAAAGACTAGCCAGGTGTAGTGGTGCACACCTGTTGTCCCAGCTACTGGGGAAGCTGAGTCAGAAGGGTCGGCTGAACCCAGGAGCTGGAGGCCGTAGTGAGCCATGATCGTGCCACTGCGCTTCTGCCTGGGCAGCAGAGTGAGACCCCTACACATACAAAAAAATTAAGATTCTTTCCTACCAGAAGGGTACCACAACCCCCATCAAGTATTAATCAGCTCAGGGCCTATGAAGGGAGAGAGAGAGGAGAAAGGGCAGAAGACATAACATAAAACATGCACACACACAGAACAGAAAGCAGTGACGTGTGGTAGACGGGAATTTTGCTGGGTCAAAAACTTGCTGATGAGAATATATTTTTGTGAGCCACTACAGAAGGCAGATGTAGCCAGCATATCAACTAACACGTAGGGCTTTCAGCTTCTTAGACAGCTGACTGGATAGCTCTCTGCATCAACAGATCACAATTCACCTTGGAGGGCTGTGTCCAGGAAAGCACAGGGGTCAGGGTGGCCCTCGTGTCCCTCTGTTGCTGCAGAGCTGGGACTGGAGCCCAACGAGCAAGCAGGATGGGCTCAGTCCCACCAGGCTCTTCCCAGAAGCTAAGCTCAGTTTTTCCACAAACGTCATATGCGGTCATGCATGGGGGCTCCCACCGTGACTGCTGCACTCTTTGAAGGAGGCCCAGCCCTTCTCCATCAGAATGATCAGGAAGAGACACCGGTTCATTCCAGAACGCTGAGCCTGATTACTTCCACACTGATCTGCACCCCATCTCACCTGCTCCCAGCTCCCCGCACCTCACTCCCTGCCCTTTCACCTCTGCAGAAGGGGGAAAGGGCAGGAGACATGCTCAGGTCAGCCCTAGAACAAACTGGGCAAGAACCAAAAGAAGAGAGAAGAAAAGAGAAACAGGAGGTCACTTAAAACCCAAGAGACAGGAGCCGCACTTGGGAGTTGGAAGCCCATAAAATTAAGATTCGTAGCCGGGTGTGATGGTTCACATCTGTAATCCCAGCACTTTGTGAGGCTAAGGGGGGAAGATTATACGAGCCCAGGAATTTGAGACCCAGTCTACGCAACATAGCAAGACCTCAACTCTACCAAAAGATTAGCCAGGTGTAGTGGTGCACACCTGTTGTCCCAGCTACTGGGGAAGCTGAGTCAGAAGGATCGGCTGAACCCAGGAGCTGGAATGTACGAACCAGGAAAATGATGAGGAAGAACCTTCTACATCAACTCCACACTGAGTGTATCTCCCCGCAGGGGAGGATGACTAAAACTTACTGGGCCAGCGTCTGACTGGGGGTGAAGTAGAAATTAATGCCCCCCAGAAAGGGAGCTTAAACATTTAGAACTAGATAAAGTTTGCAGGAAGTGGGGAAAAATGTTCTCTCATCTATCAGGGTGTAGGGAAAGGTACAGAAATTCCAGAAACTAGATGAAAGAAAAGAATTTTTAAAAACCCACGTGACAAATGAGTTTGTAAAGCAAAAAGAACCATGCCTGCTTAACTCACACGGTGTCAAGGGCAGCTCAAGGTCACTTAAGCAGAACAGGGAAAATCCATCAACATAACTTGTGTGACACTTCAAACTGGGGGAAAACAAACTAGGAAAAAGGCAATCAAAACAAAGAAACTCCAGAAGGTGTCATGGGCTTCACTTCTGGAACACAACAAAGCTCTTGTTATCTAAGAAAAAGTGACCCTAGGAATTCTATCTGGACTCTGTCTCCCATTCCCTCCTCTGGGTATCTGATGTGGCAAGACTTTAGTTCAGCAATTTGTACAGTATTGGTACAGAGCCCTGAGCCCAACCAAATAAACTCTCTCCCTCACCTCCATGAGTTCTAGTCTCCAGCAAGGGTCATCAAATTATAGTCCAGGGGCTGAGAAGCTTCTACATTTCTAAATAGTTGAAAAAAATCAAACGAACATGTTGTATGAAAGGAAATTCACGCGGGTTCGAGACCCGCCTGGGCAGTGAGACCTCATCTCTACAATAAATCAAAAAATCAGACAGGCGTGGTAGCGCATGCCTGTAGTTCCGGCTCCTTGGAAGGCTGAGGCGGAAGGATCGCCAGAGCCCAGCAGGTCGAGGCTGCGGTGGCCGGGAGTGGCCACTGCACTCTAGTCTGGGCGACAGAGTGAGACTCCAACTCAAAAAAAAAAAGAGAAGGGGGTGAGAAGATGTTAATAGATAACCTTGTCTTCTTTCTCAAGATACCACTGACATCCATCAAGAGTTTAGATCATGTCACTGTATGATCTCTGTATATTGCTGTATGATCTATTTACATCACATTACTGTTCTTTACAATTCTCAGCTGTACATTAGATTAAGCATAGATTTCTCACTCAAAATATTGGTCAGTGTGGCTCCAGTTTCATTTCCTACTTCACTGTATACTCTGCTTCATGGTGCTTTTTTTTTTCCTTTTGAGTTGGAGTCTCACTCTGTTGCCCAGGCTGGAGTGCAGTAGCATGCTCACAGCCACTGCAGCCTCAACCTGCTAGGCTCAGGCAATCCTTCCACCTCAGCCTTCAAGTAGCTGGAACTACAGGCAGTCGCTACCATGCCCAGCTAATTTTTTTATTTATTGTAGAGATGAGGTCTCACCAAGTTGCCCAGGCTGGTCTCGAACCCCTAAGCTCAGGCAGTCCTCTCACCTTGGCCTCCCAGAGTGCTGGGATTACAGGCTTGAGTCACTGTGCCTGAGCTATTGTGTTTTTTTAATTTGTGGCAAAATACATAACACAAAATTTACCATCTTAAACATTTTTAAGTGTACAGTTGGGCAGTAGTAAATACCTTTATAATGTTGTACAACCATTATCACTATCTCTGGAACTTTTTT